TTCTGGTCTCTTCTGCGCTGTTACCTCCCCTTGAAGCTGCCATGGTTTCCCCCCCAATAGTTCTTTTTCCAAAGATGCTATTTTTTCATTCATCTAAAGAAAAAAATTATTTTAAAACCATGTGGCATTCTAATGAGTCCTTTGTAGAGAACCTTAGAGAAAGATCAGTTCAAACAGACACAAAGAAAGACTCACAGGACAGACCATTAGGAGAAAAGCCACAGGTGCTGGGCAGCTCCAATCAGAGGAATATGAAACCCACAGGCTGCCAGAGGGGGGCTCTTTGCAAAGCAGCTACTTTTGAGTACACCTACATGGTGTGATTTTTAGAGAGCAGCAAGCATTTTTGAACCTTTAGCAAAGGACTGTTAATAGTTTTATCAAGAAAGACAGGGTAGATTAGTTGGCAACCTGTGACTTTAATTACAGTCATATTAAAGATGTAAAATAGTCCTTCAATCTCTAATAGTCACCTTTTCCTGTCTTTTTTCAAAAGACGATTTCATTTCATCACAATCTTTCTTTATATTTAAAATATTTCTATCTTCAATTTCTTCATCATCTGGCAAAGCAAACGTCACTCTTTTCAAACCTTCTTTATAATGTTTACTATCTTCACTTTCCTCAATGTCACTATCTTCATCCATTTCAAAAATGCTTTCTTCTTCTTCAGCTATTTTTTCTTCATTTGAACCCAGTTCATCATGACCACTTGCTAAGTCTTCATCACTTTCAACTGGATCAAAGAAATCTTTGTATTTCAAGTCTCTAGAACTTTTGTCTAACTTAAGTTTTTCACTTCCAAATAGTCCTCCCTCATCTTCATCAGAATCAACATCTTCAAAAAAATCAATATCTTCTTCGTCATCTTTTTTCTCTTCTTCTTTTTCCATGCTCTCCAAAAAGGTCTCCATTTCAGATAATTTAAAAAATGTATCATCTACTATTGATTTTTCTTTTTGTTTCCTAGAGACTTTGTTTTGTTTCTGGCTCTGCTGTTCCAACTTGTTGATAGAAAAATCAAAGTCCGAATCCTCATCAGTGAAATCTGGGCTTTTGTACAGATCTATTTTGTTCAGATGTTCCACACTTTCATGTTGTTTAACATCATCACCACTTAGCTGCTTCGAGTCTTGTTCTGGGTCCTCCTGCCCATCAGACTCCATCTTTGAGCCGTACTCTTCACAGGCCTGCTCTTCAGTCTCCGGAAGAAGACTGATATTATTGTCTTTAATTGTTTTGCTAACTGCTTTCTGGAAATACTGTAAAGCGGGTTCATTTTGCAATTCCAGTTGTTGCCAAATCTGTTCATCATCAAAATTGTTGATTACTAGTTTTTTTAAAGGACTCCCACAGTTACTGCCATCTTCTAGTATTTTATGAAAGTCATACAGTACTTTTGTTAAAGAGGCAAAGTTTGATGCCAATCCATCTTGAACC